TTCCTGATTTTTTGATTTATTGTAGAGATGAGGTCTTGCTGCCCAGGAGGGTCTCGAACCTGCGGGCTCAGGCAATCCACTCACCTCAGCCTCCCAAAAGTGCGGGATTACAGGCTGAGCCACTGAGCCCAGCTCATACTTTTTTTTTTGAAATAGTTTCACTCTATCACCCAGGCTGGAGTACTATAGTGTGGTCACTGCAGCCTCAAACTCCTGGGCTCAAGCAATCTTCCCACCTCAGCCTCTTGAGTTGCTGGGACTACAGGTATACCCCACCATGACTAGCTGTTTTTAAAATTTTTTGTAGATACAGGGTCTTGCTGTGTTACCCAGGCTGGTCTGGAGCTCCTGGCCTCAAGTGATCCTCCTGCCCCACCCTTCCAAACTGCTGGGATAAAAAGTGTGAGCCACTGCACCTGGTTGGCCCTGAGCAGTCGTTAATGGTGTAAAACCAAAGAGATAATGTTGTTTTCATTAGCAGGTTTTTAAGGTTCCTTTTTACTTAGTACTTGAGTAGTGAAAAGCTTTGGCATTGAGGAGAAATGTATACAAAAAAATGCTACCTTCCTCAAGTTCAAGGTATTGATGAACAGTTCTGACCTAAGGCATGGGCAGGCTACCCTTGACTCTGCTCGTTATCAATTATTTTTTTAATGGTAATTCTTTTTGTGTCCTGTTTAATCTTGGTCTACTCCAAGTTTATGAAGATAGTCTTCTATTGTTTCTTCTAGAAGCTTTATTGTCCTACTATTTACCTTGTGGTCTATAATCCATCTGGAATGAATTTTTGTATATGATGTAAGAGAAGGGCTCAGGGTTCATTGCTTTCTATGTGTAAATTAATTGATTTTTAATTGATCCAGCACTGTTTTTTTTTTTTTTTTTGAGTTGGAGTCTCACTCTGTTGCCCAGGCTGGAGTGCAGTGGCACATTCATGGCCACTGAAGCCTTGAACTGCTGGGCTCAGGCAATCCTCTCACCTCAGCTTCCCAAAGTGCTGGGATTATAGGCATGAGTCACCACACCTGGCCTGATCCAGCACTGTTTTTTGAAAAGATCTTCCTTTTTGCATTGCAGTGTATGTTTGTTGTGAATCAGGTGATCATCTATGTGTGAGTTTACTTCTAGATTCTCTATTCTGTTCCATTGGTATATATTTGTCTTTCTTTATGCCAATTCCACACTGTTTAATTACTGTAGCTTTATGAGGAGTCTTGATAATCTGGTAGGCTAAGTCTCCACCTGGGTTCTTCTTCCACATTATATTGGCTATTCTTGACTCTTTGCATTTCTGTATACATTTTAGAATCAGGCCGGGCTCGGTGGCTCAGCCTGTAATCCCACGCCTTTGGGAGGCTGAGGTGAGTGGATTGCCTGAGCCCGCGGGTTCGAGACCCGCCTGGGCAGCGAGACCTCATCTCTACAATAAATCAAAAAATCAACTCCTAAATGGACAAAAATTGGAACCAATTCCCCTGAAAACTGGAACTAGACAAGGATGCCCACTCTCTCCCCTCCTGTTCAACATAGTATTGGAAGTCCTGGCTAAAGCAATCAGAGAAGAGGAGGCAATCAGAGGTATTCAAATAGGAAAAGAGGAAGTCAAGTTATCTCTCTATGCAGATGATATGATGGTGTACCTTGAAAACCCAAGAGAATCTGTCAAAGGCCTCCTTACATTGATAAAAGCCTTTGGCAAAATCTCAGGATAAAAAATAAATGTACAAAAGACAATCGCATTTCTCTACACCAATAATAAACAAACAGAAACCCAAATAAAAAACATAGTTCCATTCACAATAGCCACAAAAAAAATGAAATACCTTGGCATCTTCCTAACCAGAGACGTGAAAGACCTTTACAATGAAAATTACAAAACACTGCTCAAAGAAATCAAAGCCAACATGAACAAGTGGAAAAATATCCCATGCTCATGGATTGGAAGAATCAACATTGTGAAGATGTC